GTCATAATATAAAATCTTGTTTGGAAAACCAGACTATTAAGATTTCATGAGTGTGGCTTCTCTGTGGTATCTAGTAGTCACATTCTGGCAGCAGGTACCCTCTGACTCTTACTATCTTCCTGCCTCCTCTTCTCTGCTTTTCCCTGAGTCTTGGGTATGGGGTATGTACTGCAGGTGGTGCCTAAACAAGACCCGCATAAGGACAACACTGGGGACAAGTATGGAGGAAATTTCACAAGGCCTCACACCATGAAGAGCTACAGGAAATCAATAGCTTCTGAGGGAGGGGGAATGAGTTTTCTCTGGGGAGAATCTTCCCCTGACAGTTCACCCAGTCCCAAGTGCTCAGGCCTAAACTCACATGCATGTGCATATACTATACATATACATATACACATACATGTGCATATACATACACATACACATGTACATACACATACACAAATACAAATACATACACATGTGCATATACATATACATACATATACACACATACACATATACATATACATGTGCATATGCATGCACATACACATATAAATATACATATGCATACACGAGCATCACAAAAGGAATTCAGTAGGCTGTAAATGTATATGTGCATGAATACGTATATATGTGTATGTGTATATGTGCATATATATATAGATAGATATAGATAGATAGATAGATAGATAGATAGATAGATAGATAGATAGGTAGATGATTAAAGAATAGGTCATGAATTTGAGAGGGAGGGTAAGTCACAGATGAAATTGGAGGAAGGAGAGAAAGAGGTAGAAATAATATAAATACAATACCCACATATGAAATTCTCAAAAAGTAAAACATTTAAATTTAAAAATCAATTATTATTAAAATTAAAGTAAATGATCTTACAAATCAGTCTGCATTGAAACAACACATTTAAAAAATTTTTAAAGTGCTCAAATATGGGAGCCAGGAAAAAGAGAGGGGGATAAGAGGAGGGGAGAAGAAGGTATGGGGGAGCAGGAAGGTTGAGTCGAGGTAAGAATAGAGGAGAGCAGGATGAGAGATACCATAATAGATTGAGTCATTATAGGCTTGAAGAGAGATCTACAAGGATAACACCAACTGGCAAACTAAGCAATAGTGGAGAGACTATATTAAATGCCCCTCCTTGATGGTAAGGTTGATGACTAACTTATATGCCATCCTAAAACCTTCATCCAGTGACTGATGGAAGCAGAGACAGATACCCACAGCTAAACACTAAACTGAACTCCTGGAACCTAGTGACAGAGATGGAGGAATGATGAGCAAAGGGGTCAAGACCATGATGGTGAAACCCACAAAGACAGCTGACTGGACAAGGGGGAGATTTTGAATCCCAGACTGATGGCTGAGAGGCCTACAGGTGACTGATCCAGACTCCACAAATGTAGTCTCAGTGAGGAGGTCACAGAAATCACTGGGGCCTTGGGTAGTAGATCAGTGTGTTTACCATGGCGTATGAATGATCTTTGGGAACCCATTCCAAATAGAGGGATGCTCTCTCAGCCTGAACACATGGGGAAGGGCCTAGGTCCTGCCCTGGATGAAATGACAGACTTTAGAGATCCCCCCAAGGAGAGCCTCACCCTCCCTGGGGAATGATGTGGGGGTTGTGTGGGAGGCTGGGGGGCTGGTGGAGGGATAAAGGAGGAGGGGTGGGAGAGGGAGCTGGGATTGACATGTGAAGCATTCATGTTTTTAATATAAATAAAAACATTACAAAAAAAGTGCTCAAATATGAAATCCTTGTATGAGCTCAGCTTCAGAGATGATGAAATGTAAAAGTAAGCTGTGAATATATGTTTCTCTTACTGGTTGATGAATAAAGATGTTTCAGTCAATGGACAGGCAGGATGTAGGCAGGTGGAAAAAAACAAACAGAAATAGAGAAAGGTAGGAGGCGGAGTCTAGGAGACACTATGCAGCTGCTGAGAAAGCAAGGGACCAGGGAGTCACTGCTAAGTCAAGACCATATGGAGATACATGGATAAATATGAATGGGTTACTAATAAGAGAGATCTAACCAATAAGAATCCTGAACCATTGGTCAAACAGTTTATAATTAATATAAGCCTCTGTGTGTTTATTTGGGACTAAATGGCTGAGGGACTGGGCGGGTCAGAAAACTTCCATCTACAGAGAAATATGTTACAAAATAAAGCATATTTTCAATCACAGCAATAGAGACACTATTTTTTCTTACATGTGAATCCTATGAGAATTACATTCAAAACAAGGAAAGCAGAATACTAAAAATATACAGAGAACATTTTTACTGTAAAATTTCAGTAAATCCATACAATGTTTAATAAACTAAAATAAACAGTGTGGTGTTTTGGGCAATCACTTAAAAAAACACCACAACCAGGAACAATACTAGTGAAATTTATTTAGCTATAGGGTACTAAATTTAACATAGTATAAAATGAAAACTTGGGAAAGTATTATGATAAAATATTCAATGCAAATAACCATGAAGCAAAAATAATTTTTCTACTTCCTAATACAAATAGAAGCAGAAAACAGTGTCATACCAAACACCTGGATTATAATAAAACCAACATAGCCTCAGGAAATCACTGGGCTTCAGTGACAGTACCCCGATTAGTTATTTTTAAAATTGAATAAACTATTACTCATTTATTTTTTAACAAAGACTAATCTATAAAACATTTTCCAAAGATGTTAAATTAATAGTTCTGGAATAATTATGTGCGCTCGTGTGCACGTGTGTGTGTGTGTGTGTGTGTGTGTGTGTGTACATATGAGAAATCCAGAAATTTTTGAATGTACTCATTTTATGAGGATTTTTATATCTGTGTGTACATGTATGTGTATGTGTATGTGTGTGTGTGTGTGTGTGTTTTATGTGTGTCTACATGCACTTCACCCCACACACATGTGTGGAGGTCATGGACAAATATCCAGACTTGGTTCTCTCCTCCTACTCTATGGAATTCAGAAATCAAACTCTGGTCATCAGGCTTGGAAGCAAGTACCCGTACCCACTGCAACATCTTCCCAGGCTGTGGAAGGAGTCTTTAAGGGACTGGCTCTCTTCTAAGGTTCAAGAAAATGTCTCCAAGACATCAATTAGAGTGCTACTAGTTTTGTGCCGCGCTTTTAAACATCATTAAAATGATGTTACTCCACCCCCCTAAAAAAATCACTGATAAAATTAAAAGAAACAGAACACAAATACAGGTCTTACATATAAATTCACCAGAGTTTATGAAGAACAAATGAAAATTCCAACCACAAAAGAGACGTGTGTTGTCTAAGGTAGAAAGAGAAAGGTTTACATTGTCACGTGAATCTCCCTGGTCCCACCCAGCTAGGGGTGGATTTAAGGACCTTTTAGGGAGAGTGGCTCAGCCAGGGTATCCAGGAGTTGGCTCCTGCTCTGTCGCAGTCTAGTTAAGCTTGAAGTCTTCTTTGTTCATACGTGAGCACACCTGCTCTTGCCAGACATTGAGGCTTTGTCTCAGTCTTGCTTTGTCACTTAGACATCATCCTTCCAATCATAAAGCTGTCCCCAGTGTAAGCCGCTGTTTTTGCAGTGGCGTTTGTACCAGTTGCTCTTCCCACTCTTGTGACAAAACACCCACCAGACAAGCAGTGACTTAAGGGAAGAGGGTTTGTTTTGGCTCATGGTTTGAGAAGATGGTTTATCATAGCGAGCATGGCTGGTCGTACTGTGTCTGCACTCAGGAAGCAGGGAGAGCTGAACGCTGGTGCTGAAATGTCTTTTTCTTTCTTCCCTTTCCATTCAGTCTGAGATCCTATCCTATGGGATGTACCACCCACACACGGAGTGTGTCTCTTTCTCACGTACTAATTACCTTTTTTGTTGCTGGGATGAACACTACAGCCAAAAGCAACTTCAGGAAGAAAGGATTTGCTTTAGCTTACAGTTCCAAAACGATAGAGTCCATTATGGTGGGGATAGCATGGCATAGCCTCAGGAACAGGAAATTGACCGATCACTTTTCATCCACCCAGAAGTCAGTGGGAAGAAGAAAGAGACAGACAGACAGAGAGAGAGAGAGAGAGAGAGAGAGAGAGAGAGAGAGAGAGAGAGAGAGAGAGAGAGAGAACCGGAAGTGGGAGGGGCTACTATTAAGGCCCATTGCCATCCCCATGCTTCCTCCTGAGCTTCTAAAAAGTTCCCTAAACAGTTTGGCACCAGCTGGGGACCAAGTGTTCAAATACACAAGCCCATGGCAAACATATCCCATTCAAGACATTACAACCCCTCAATCAATCAATCTTCTCTGGAAAATTCCTCGAAGGTACACCCAAAGATGTGCCTTATTAATACTATAAGTGTTTCTCATTGCAGTCAAGTTGACAATCAAAAATTAATCATCACAATCCCCAAATAAAATCCATTCTTTCCTTCATTTATTCAGTTGATGATGCAATAAGTACTTTGAGTACCTAAGATGGTGCTTGTTTTAGAGCACTCATTAGTCAAAATAGGAGGCATTTGCATGTGGAGATAAAAGGTGAGTTAACTGCTTGATACAAGAAAGGAAAAGATGAAGTTCCCTTACAACAGCCTCTAGCATTACATTTCGAGGGCACTGTCCCCAATTTATTGATACAGTGGTGACTGATGTCTAAGGAGTACAAGACACATTACTCATGTGGCTGACTGTGAAGTCAACAAAACGAATCAATTGTCTTCTTCTCGCTGGTGATAAACAACAGCAGTTCTATTCACACCTGTAGTAAGCCACAATATACTCATGAGAATTTATGAATGATAGGCAAATGAAATCCCAAGACAGATCCTAACATCATTTTCCATTTAATAAAGAAAAGTTGCTGGAACACAATAAACAGCATTAGTTATGAGAAATATTTCTTTGGCTTTATAGGTTAATTAAATGTGGGACAGAATTTTTTTCAAAACAAAAATATAACTGAGGTGTAAGTTATAAATTCAAATAATATTAAAGACAAAGTAAGTGACTCGGCTCCTGTAGGGTTTAATCTTCATTGTTAATTAAATTTGGCATCACTTAGGAGATTCACATCTAGGCATGGCTATGAGCATGTTTCCCAGGAGGGCTGCCTTGAGGGAAGACTTACCCAGTGTATAGGAATCACAAACCCAAGGTCTGGTGTTCTAGACGGAATAAAAAGGGAGGGGTTGTCAGCTGAGCGCCGTGTTCATCCCTCACTCTTTGCTTCCTGACTGTGGCCGCCATGTGACTGACTGCCTTAGACTCCCATTGCCTTGCTTCTCCATCATGATGGGCTTCATTCTTTCTTAAGACATAAAAGCCAGAATAAATCCTTGTCCCCTTAAGTTGGCTCTGGCAGCCATTTAAACAAGTAAATAACACAGCCTCAGACAAGGAAACCACCTTACTGAAGATCTCAACACATTCTAGATTTCAATGGAAACTGAGCCTCCTAACATCCAATTACTACGTTTTTTGTTACTAGTAATTTTTTTGAGGGGGAAAGAGAGGGGTCCCCAAACTTAACATGTAATAAAGACTAATTTTATTTAAAGAAAAAAGGATAGTTTATAGCTTTTTCCCTTTTTGTAACATTTTTATCAATCTCTGTCAAAAATTTCCCCTACATGAATCACTGGTTTATTTATTTTTATGCACTAATTTTTAAAAAATTAGTGGGGCTGAGAGGATATAGTTCAGTTGGTAAAGGGCTTGCTTACAATCCCAAGTACATGAGTTCGATCCCCAGAACACACAAAAAAGTTCTGAGTGTGGTGGTTGATGTGTATTTGTGATCCCATACTTACTTGCTAGCTATCCCAGCCCACTTGTTAAATTCCAGGTTAATGAGAGACCCTATTTCAGAAAAAACAATCCCCCAAAAAACAAATGTGGATGGTACCTAAAACCAACATCAAGGTTTTCCTCTGAGCTGGACACAATTCTCTCTCTCTCTCTCTCTCTCTCTCTCTCTCTCTCTCTCTCTCTCTCTCTCTCTCTACACACACACACACACACACACACACAGTTACACATACTCACAAAGATAATAATTATGATGTATCTTCTACTTTTCAGTCAGCAACTTAGATATTTTTATCCTTGAAAGTCAACTGATATGAGGAGCTTTCTGGGAACTGGGGTCTACACTCTAAAACAATACACTAAAATTTAGTGTTTGATACCTCTAAACAGCTTTTGACAGAAAGCCTCCCAGTATGTGTATACTTACGTTCTGAAATGTTTTCAATCTCTAACTTCATCTAAGATGTTCTTAGCGCCTGGGCCTTTGTACTGGAACTTTCAGGTTTCTTTCTCTACTGAAGCTTCTCTTTATGTAGGCTTGCAGTGCTAAGTCTTTCCAGAAAGAAAACATTCAGGGTCAACAAAAAGTACAAGTCAAGTAAGTTTAGGACCCCATTTAAAAATATAGACACTATTACATTACATTGTTATGCAAGAAATGGGAGGTCCATAATTTTCTGTCTCAACATCCATCTAGGATACCTGGTTGTGGCGTTTTGAAAGATATGTATGTATCGGTGTCTTCCCTCTTATCCTTTGAACGCGGCTTCAGGCATAGGGAAGTGGGAATTGGGAAGCATGAGGTGTGGTCTCACTTGCACGGGCTCTTTCTTTTGGGTCAGCCGATTCTGTAGGAAGGGCAGAGAAGTGTTTGCACAGTTCTTTGTTATTGCCTGTGTAAGTGTTCCCCAATAAACACCCATTTATCATTTATCTTGGGTCTAGAGAAATCTTTACACCCTCACCTTCAGGCATACTTCAGGGGCAGGAGAGAAGCAAAGAAATATTTGCATATATTTGACAAATTTGATGACCTCAGAGCTATCACTGTTCTTTCATTTATTCAAAGACTGTTTATTTAACACATAAGCCAGGCGAAGATCTAAAAACATGGGATACGTCAACGAACAACAACAACAACAAAAAACCTTGACAAGCATGGAACAGATGAGGTAGGTGATGTGGGTCTTTGTACCCTTTCTAACCATGTGACTATATTTTCTATTCAAAATAGTATTTTAATATAAAAAAAAACCTTGCCTTTATAAAATTTCATTGTGAGTGAAAGGGAAAATACACAATTAATCCGATAAACACATCATGTGCAAGATCATATGTTAAAAAATGTAAAGACTCAAAAAAGGTACATCTTATCAGGAAGATAGGTCAGAGCACTGAAGAGAAGTTGGGAAAGAAATTCTGAGAAAGTCAGAAATGGGCAAAGATTTGCAGGAAGTGAGCAGTTATATCAAGATGTCTGCCACAAAAAGACAGCTGTTGTAACTTCTCACTGTTTCTTAGATTTTTCAAAAATTCTCATATACAAATTGAGACTAGAATATAGGTCACTAGAAGCTAAGGAGGTGGGGCAGGGGACTGGAGGGATACTGGATCAGGTACCCTAGTACAGTTGTACAGAGAAGTCGTTCCAATGTTCTGTAGAATAGCACAAGAATTATTTAAACTGTAAACCAATTTACAGAGTTCAAAGCAATTGGAAAAATCATGAAGATTCCCAGCACATGGGAATTTCAATATTTCAGAAATTAAAAATGCTGATCACCCTAATTTGTTCATTACACTCTATATGTGTATATCAAATTACCATAAGTAAATACAAATACTATGTCAAATTATTTTTAAGAGGATACAAGGAGGAAGCATCTTCCAGGCAGAGCATTAGAGAGACACGGTAACCGGCCAGTGTGTTTCAGAGGAGGGACAAGAGGAAGATGAAAGGGAAGGGGGCTGAGAGACAACAGCGGACATGCTTCCTCAGATCTTGTGACTGGCTTTGCTCTGAGATGGGTATCTGAGGGGAGCAGTAATTAAAGCTGACTTCTGTTTTAGCAAGGGCACTCTGTAGTTGGATTGAAAATCGCCTGCAGCAAAGCAAAGAAGAAAAGAGACCCTTTGGAAGTTATTCCAGTAACTCAGGTGAAGAGCAATGTGGTGAGCAATGGTGGCTCACTCTGGGGGGCTGGACCTCAAGGCATGCTGGGAAGAAATACTTGGACCTGATATAATTCGATGATTCTCTGCAAGGCATGAGAGAAAGAGGAAATTCTAATACATCTAGTAGGTACTATTACAAGGAGCATAAGAGAAAAAAAAAAACACCAACTGCTTTATTTGGAAAGGCTACAAGGAGAGAGGATAGGAGGGAAAAACTATACAAAACTAATGAGTTTGGTTTCTTCTGCACAATGTGAGTGTGAGATGCCTATTAGATGCAAATAGAAAAGCAGAGTAGACCGTGGGAGGTAAGGAAAGAGTTCTAGTATAAAAGCACACATCATATGGGGACATTATTTAGAGCCAAGAGTCTAAATAAAATTACCAAGGAAGCTTGTAAACAACAGAGAAAAGGACCAAGTCCAGAGCCCCACAGCCATCCAGCATCAAAAGTCTAGACAGGCCCTAAGAGAGACATAGATGGATCCATCTAGGAAGGGGAAAAAACAAGGTCTCCTGATTAAATTGGGGAAGTCCTGTGTATATGTCAATAAATTACTGCTGGCCAATAGGAATCTAGATAGGTGGGGCTAGGAGTCCAGGAGGATTCTGGGAAGGAGAAACACAGGAGAGTCAACATGTAACACCATGGGGTAGGAGCCCGGAACTATTCTCCAGTAAGAGACATACTTAGATTAACAATTATGGGGTAATTACTTAAAGCAGAGCTAGCCAGTAAGAGACAAGCAAGGCCAACAGCTTCATAACTAATATAGCCTCCTGTGTGTTTATTTGGGACTGATGCGGCTCTAGAACCAGGCTGGCGGAAAGGCTTCTCTCAAGGAAAAAGCTTCCTTTTACAGTAAACAACAGAGAAAAGGACCAAGTCCTGAGCCCCACAGCCATCCAGCATCAAAAGTCTAGGCAGGCCCTAAGAAAGACATAGATGTATCCACCTAGGAAGGGGAAAAAACAAGGTCTCCTGATTAAATCAGGGGCGTGGGGGTGTTGGAAGGGGAGGGGGGAGAGAAGGGTAGTGGGGGGGAATGTGTAGCTCAATAAAAACATAAAATGGTCTAGGCAGACAAAACAATGAAGGAGAAGGATGAACCTAAGAAGGATGGCTAAGACTTAAGCCCAGACTTGCCAAGTGATAGACATGAGAAGAAAAAAGAAAAAAGAAAAAAATCTTTCCCACAGGAGGGGTCTTCAGATTGCTAAGTAGAGTTGACAAGGTGTAGGTCATTTCTGGCCCTAGAAGGACAGTTTTTGGTGGCATCTATGGAATCAGAAGCCAAGTGAATTAAGAACTAATAGGAAGAGAGAAGTTGGGAAGATTTTTTTTTTTTTTTTTGCTACAGAAGAGAACAAAGAAATGCATTAGTCAATAGAGGAAGTGGAATCAGAGACCTCGTTTAGTGTTGTGGTGAAAAGACAGCATATGTAGATGTTCATGGCCATCTCTAGTAAAGAGGGGAGGGGGTGGCACAGAGGAAACGGAGACATGCGCAGTCGGTATCTATGGGGGGGGGGGATGAAGTCTTGTGAACCAGCGGCGTTTAGCCTGAAGCAGAGATGCTTTATAGAGGGACAGGCCAGGAAACAGAAGTGCGGCTGTGAAGTGTTGGTAACAGAAACGTAGGCTTCTAGAAATTCTACCCTGATTGCTTTTGTCGTCTCTTTTGAAATAAGTTTCCTACCTGAGAATGAGATCACAGGAGCAAAACAGGGAATGTAGGACAGTCTCCTTCTAGGGGAATACGGGAGGGAGAGCTCCAGAGAAGGACTGTCTGGCCGCCTGCCTGCCTGCCTGCCTGCGTAAGGAGCCCGTTCAAAGTGTGCGGTCAGGAATCCAAAGTGAAAAGGATAGCATGGCGTCGTTTTCCTCTGAAGACATTTGAGCTGTGTGGTGCAGACATCGAAAGGCAGAGAGAGAATCTGTTTATCTGCGTGGTGGCTTTGCCAAAAAGGAAGAAGGATTTCATGGTAGACACACAAGAATCGTTACGATAATGGACCCCAGAGCTGAAGCTCAGGAGATAGAACAAACCGAAGTGCTTGCACATCAGCCGCCCTTCTGTTATTTGTCTTACCTGGCTTGGGAATGAGAGACCATATTTTTCTACTCTTTCTAAAACTAAATACAGTAACTAAGCCCATATCCATGACTACTCAGTTAATAAGCATCGATGGTCTAGTCACTTATGGGTGTGAAATATAGCAAGTCCTTCAATCTCCAGAAACCCTTCCAAAGACAAGCCCCACTGTCCTTGACAGATGGTCTATAATTTTTATATTTGAAACACCATATGTCGAGCGCCAAAGCACTATACATACTTAGCCTGGAATTTTTAGGTTTGGGTGATAATGTATTTGGTAGCACCTGTGCTTTATAATGTGCCATCCAGAAGCTTCTATTTTCTCCTCCCCACACATTCATCACCTCAACCAGATGCTCCCAATTTCCTGCTTCCTCGGAGCACAGCCTGGCCAGCCTGGGATGGCCTCCCATTTCACCAGGTCTTATGTAAGAGCCCTGGTCCAGGATCAGTGAGCTGCCATCTGTCTGTTGTCCTTCCTGTTTCCTAGAGATCACTTGATCCCTACCCGCTGTCTCAGAAACAGGTGAGGGCTGAACTCACTTGTTTTCTATCTCATCTCTAACTCGCAGAAGTCTCTGATCTTCTTTAGGACTGCCGTACCTGATCTGGGCTTACTCACCTAGGTACCACTGATGGCACCGATAGAATATGATTGAGTTCTGCAGCATAGACACAGAAACCACTAACCTCATTCAAAAGATACGGAAGTGTAAGCACCCTGGCGTTCTCACTCCAAGTCACTCAACATTGTTGTGGTAACACTGATTTAAAGTTATTCTCATTCTTACTTCAATACATTTGACAAAATGGCATTTTAAGTAGATATCGCTGTAAGATGCAGGCTTTCAAGTTGCTCTCCTGGGAACGGAGTGTACTGCCAGAGACTCAGACAGAAACATATCTCATTATGAATGCCCTGTCACTTACATTGCTTAATTTTTATTTCAGGCACAAAATCAGTGTGTCCACAAAGGTGCTTACCTTTGTGACTTTGACTTCAACTTTTGAAACTAAAATCATATTTCTACTATAATTATTTTTAAAGTTGAACATGACTATAATGAAATTGCATCATAAACTAGAGCAAGAAATTATAGCTAAAGGCAAATGTATTTTGTACACAATTACTCATAATTGGTAATATTATGATTCTTAATGCAGACACACTGTGCTAGGCTCTAGGCATATAGAGATAAAGGAAGCAGACACAAGTTCTGCCCTATTGATTGACAGTCTATGAAGGAAAACGAATACACGTAGTTTAATTAATTCCATTTGATTTAAACAGAACTGTCTTACAAGAGCATTTTAGGCCAGAAGCATATGATGATGCCCTGGATTTTGAAGAGCCGTTACTGATAATTTTTTTCTAAATTTAACACACAAAAAAATTCTACCAAATAGAATGTTGGTAGTTATAATTCAGTAAGAAAACAAGGAGTCCTAGCAATGAGCTCATTGGTCCCAAGAATTAAGACTCATCTCGGATGTCTTAATCCTCCCAGCTTGACATCCATGTATATTTCTTTGCAATACTGGCATGATTTCCACATTTCTACTTC